ACTTATGTATTGAGCGCAGAATAATTGTTCACAGAACCTGCGGTCGCAGCTCAGACAACTAAAGAAGACAAAGGTCCGGGGACAGCTGCTTGGTCGCCACAGAGGGCTTTATACACATAGGGATGGAGGAACAAGGATCAGCAAGATCGTGGGGGGGACAAAGAGCAAAGGACCCACTGAGTGGATCTGGAAGCATCTCGAAGAGGAGGGTGGGTAGTTCCGACGGGCCAAGGGCACCAAGTAGGTGGGAGTCCGAGACCCCCAAGAACAGGAGGATGACGCCGGGCCGGGCCAGCGGCAGCCGTGTCGAAGTGCTGTCCAGGCCCGAAAGCTGATGCGCCACCACCTCACACCAACAGAGGGCACCAGGCCCTCAGCAGTTTGCTGTGGGCAGCTCCCAGATGCCGGCCAGATGTGGGCAGCTGGGCTGCGGGAGGAGGCGCGAAGCTCTACCGGAGTCCCTGCAGGGTACCCGGTAGGAGGGAGTGAAAAAGAGACCGCAGGGGAACGGGTGGAGGCAGACTGCACCATTGTTACTCCCAGATTGCCATCCCTATTGGCAGAAGGGGTGAGGGGAGCCTTTTGCCCAGAGGCGGCGCTGCTCTCTGATTCCCGCCCCGCAGCCGCGTGCGCTGGCAGCGGCGCTGTGTGGCTCGCTCAGCAAGGCCGAGCGAGGTCCTCGGGGTTGAACGCCCGCCCCGCCAAGAGACTCCTAAGGCAGTCGGCCGGGGGAAAGAGCGACCTTGAAGTCCTTGAACTTTTTGGATAACTGTCCTCCAGGAGCTCAACATAACACACGCGCGCGCGCACAGCCACACCAGATCATCCCTAGGCCCTTTCAATCCTGCCCGCGATGTGCATTCAAAGGGGAGAAACTGAGGCTCAGCAGGACGACAGAGCACCGAGTAGACCCCCACCTCCCAATCAGCCGAAGAGGAGAAGCTGGGCTAGAGAGCCGCCTGAAAGCTCCAGTTAAGGACCTCTTCCCCCCACCCCACCCCACCCCCGCGTCTTCCAGACCTGCCTGCTGTCCCCCCACCCCAGCCGCTCCCAGGGTAATCAGCTGCTGTGCGCGGCGGTAATTGACGGTGCAGACCCGGTCTGGCGCAGGGGCGGGCGAGGGGCTTAATTGCAGGGCTTTGGCCCGCAGTCTGGGCTGCTCCTCCGCTGCGGGGGGTGGAGGGCGGGGAAGGGAGGGGGGGATAGGCCTCTTAATGCTGCAGGTCCGGCTCTGGAGGAAACCAAAGTCCTTTGAGTCAATAGTTGGGAAGGGGGAGGCTAACTCTTCCCGTGAAAGTGTGGGTTGAGTGTTGGAATTGAACCCCAACAGGGGTGCGCGGTGGGAGGGGAGGGGGTTGAAGTAGGAGTGGACGCACCCTGCCCCAGCATCTGCAGCCCGGGTTCATCTTGTCCGATGCTCCTCCCTTGTTTTGACCACCCTTTGCTCCCCTTTCTGCCGCCCCCGTCACACACACACACACCCCTTCTCGTGTCCCCGGGGCGCTCCCACCCTGGGGAAGAATGTGCCCTCTTAGCGCACCCTTGCCATGGTAACGGCACACCCCCGCCCCCGCGCACCACGGTGGCTGGGCCTGGCCCTCAAGGCTGCAAGAAAAGGTTGGGGGGGGGGAGGCGCCTCCCAGCCCCGCGGACACACCTCGGCTGCCCTAGTTGCTAAGCAACCGGGGGCGTTTGGATGTACATAGTGGCCAAGTGGCTGAGGGCTAACTACCAATGCTAACCCACGGGCAAGAGAGCCCTGGCCCACCCCACCCCAGCTTCTGGACAGGGTCCAGAGAGGGATCCTGGGGTGTCCCACCTTCCGTACATAGGAAACCCCAGAAAAGGCCTAGCCCAGGGTCCTAGAGAGCCGGACCTGAAAAGGGATCTCCCGGTTGCCAGCCCGGTCCCCTCCCCCCCACCTCTAGCAGAACCCAAGGGGGCCGCTGGCAGCAGGAAGCTGGGGAAGGACGAGAGGCGCGCAGGCCCCACAGCGGAGCGGTGATTACAGGGACCTGTCCTTCCCGCCCCCGGCTCCCACTCTCATTAAGTCATTTTTTCCCCTGTTGGAAAGTCCCCTTGCCTTGAGCGCTGGGGCTGCGGCGACCGCAGGCAGCTGCCGGCAACCACATGAGACGTGGGGGGGGGGGACATAGAAAGATAGGTTCCGCGACCAGGGCCTGGCCACTCTCCAATGCGGAAGGGCCCCCTGCCAGGGGCTAGTTGGGATCATTGATTCGGGAGGAGTTGGGAGTGCCTGGATGGCCCTGACCTTGCTTCTTGTGGCACTCCTGCAACTGCCAAGTCTACCTTTGAATGCCTGCCTCTCCCTCCACCCCCTCCCAAGGTGCCCTGGCGACAGAAAAGCAGAATGCTTGCTTTCTGATCCTCCTCCAGCCTGGCAGCGGCTCCTTCACCCTTAACCCCACCACTGTCTTCTGGGCTGTCCACTACCCTCATTTTGTTAGTTCCCCTCCCTCCCTCTCTCCTTTGGGGACAATCTAGACTCCATTAGACCCTACGAATACTTCTGTCTGCGTAGGTAAAAGATGTTGGGGGCAAGGGAGGTCCTCTTCCCTTCTGAATTATCTCTGGCCACATTCTGATCTCCCAAACTGTTGCCAAGTTCTTCCCATCTCAACTCCCACTTAATTTCAGCCCATTTCCTTTCTTTGTGATCAGCACATTGATTCCTGCTGCACACTTCTGCCAGATGCATAAGCCCAGTACCTCTTGAATCTTGTTCCCCCCCCCCCACGTCCGCATCTCTGATGAGGGCTAGTTCCAACTTCTACACACCCCTTTCCCATTGTGGAGTCTAGCCTTGGTCCCAGAGCTCAGCCACCTTCTGACCCAATGGCAACACTCTACTTGTCCCTTTCCCAACTTTTCCTTCCCTTCTAAACCAGCCACACTAACTTGTATCAGATCCTTATGATTTGACTCACTAGAACATGTCCCCTCTCCCACAACACAATGCCCAGCCTTCTGCCCTGTCACCTATTCTTCCCCCCAGAGGTGGTGTGCTCTTTTGTACTGTCCTACCTTATTCTTTCAACTTGATCTTAGAGTTCTCACTTCCTCTCCCTTCCCTCAGCTCTTTAAGCCTGGAAGGCAGAGGAGGGTGAGACTAAGGCTAATACTGTAGTGGACACTGCTACCTCTCTAATCCCCCCTATCTCACCTTCCTGGAATGGAGGGAGGGGGCAGGGAACCCAGCCCCCACTATTCTGCTGGGTGAACAAGAGGAAAGGAATGAGGCAGGTGTGTCTAGCTGCTCCTGTGCACCCCTCCTCCCCAAAGGCTCTCCCTGCCTGCCTGCAATGCTGTCTATGGGAGAGAGGAAGAGAACCCTGTTCTTCACAAAAGTGGCAGAATGGAGCTTTCAAGAAGGCCTGCTGCCTTGGCCGTGCCTAGGAACTTCTGAGATGCAGTTGGAGGGTAAGGAGTTGAGGACAAACTCATGGGGACAAATCTCCCAGCTGGAGGAACCGCAGGGGTATATAATCCTTCTTACTTTCCCTCCACCCACAGATAAGGAGGAGGGGGCAGAGGTAGGGATTTGTGCAAGCCAGCCTGGAGAAGAAGAAAAAAGGAAAAGTATCAGTTTCTGGTTGATCAAGAGGGGTGCCATTCTGGGATAAACAAGCAGCCAGCAAGGCTCCAACTACAAGCAGCAAGAGGCCCAGATGAATTAAGTACTGTGTTCTTACTCCCCCCACCCCCATCTTGGGGGTCTGTTTCAGGATGTCACTAGATGGGAACCAAGGAAAACACAACCCTGGACCTACACTTCTAGCTCAGCAGTGTCCTGATGGAGGCACAAGATGTATGTGAGGTTATTGACCTGATTAAGGGGCACCCTGAGCTGGAGGCACCAGAGACCCTGAAAGCCTAACCCTCCTGAGTCTTAGTTACACATCCTGCCTCCCTGGCCTGCTCTCCACAGCCCAGCTCCAGACAGTGAGTCTGCCGCCTTCCTCCACCAGCCTCTTCCCAGCCGCACCTCCTGGCCCCACCTGCTCCCTGGGGCGTTGGGCTGGGTTGAGCTGGGTCTTGCCCAGGATTACTCCTCTCAGAGTGCCTCCTGTCTCTGCTGACGGTTGCTGCTGGGCACGGCCACTCGTCCTGGCTTGTGGCAGAGGGCTCAGGCACAAAGTGGGCGGTTAGAGCCCTGGCACCTAGTGCTTGGATCCCTGGATCTGGCCCTTTCTCAACATCTCCAATGCTGCCATCCAGTTCAACTATGTTTTGTATGATTGTTATAACCCCTTACTTAGCTTTCCAGCTGTTACCCATGGGACTGATCTCCTGGGTCTCTGTTTAAGACTGAAGGTTCTAATTCTTCCTAAATAAAATCTCTACTCCTTTAGGTGGGCATAGACAGACACATAATGCAAGCTTTACATACCCTCTTAGCTTTTCTGCTGCTGGATAGGCCCCTAGATGTCTCTCTCCAGTCCAAATGGCCTCTTTGCTGTTTCTTCAACAGCAGAGCTCCTTCTCCCTTGAGAACTTTGGCATCCCACAGACACTACCCAGGAAGCCCTTCCCTTCCTTCTCTGCATGGCTCTCTTTCCCACGTGGCAGGTCTCAGCAAGAAATCTTGCCTTTACAGGAAAGGCTCCCACTCCTCTCCACTCTCCATTGGTCCCTTGCTTTATTTTCCTCATAGCCCACAGCATTATCTGAAAATGCCCTTGCTGATATGTTTATTGGTTTATTGTCCAGCTCCCTTAGCAAGCATGTAAACTCCAAGATGGCCTCTCCTCTCCCCCGAGGCCCATAGAAAAGATTGCAAAAATAAATATCTGCTAAATGGAGGGACAAGGGAGCGTGTCTGGGATCTTTTATAGAACCACTTCAGCTCAGTTGTGTCCAGCTCCTCTTTTTAATCTACCTCTCCCAGTCCATCCGTTTCAGTTCATTTTCTCCCACTCCAGGGGAAGGGGAGATAGGTCGGAGAGGCTAGGCTGCCTGGCTAACACTTGTATGGGGCAGGAAGAGGGGAGACCAATCAATCTTAGAGCCCGTGGAAGTGGGCAGTGGGGTTTAGATAGGCGTGGACTGTCAGGTGATTGTAGATTTTTCAGAGCTGGGAGGTGCCACCTCCTCTCCAGGAGCCAAGGGAGATGCCGTGCTGGCGCCCAGATCTCAGGCGGCAGGGGCCCAGGCTGTAGAAGGGGCCCCTCTCTCGGGATCAGGCTCACTTGCAGACACTGACCCACTCGGTGATGCGGCACTCCTCGCAGACCACGAAGCAGCACCAGTGGAAGCGGCAGTGGCAGCGCTCGCTGCGCGTCTGGCGCAGGATGTTGTGGCCGCGGCCGCAGCACATGCTGCCGCAGCCGTCCGGGCCCGCGCTGCTCTTGTTGCACAGGCGGCCCACGGTGCCCGCCGAGTCCAGGCGCGGCTCGCGCTCGCAGAAGTCGGGCGACTTCTCGAAGTAGACCAGGTCAGCGGGGCTGGCCCGACGTCGCGGCCCCGGAATGCCCGGCGGCGGCGAGGGTGCCCCCGCGGGGCCGGGTTCCAGCTGGCCACCGTTGCGGTTGTGCGGCCGGATGAGCGTGGCGCGGTGGAAGCGGCTGCGCAACAGCGCCCCCACGGCGCGGAACTCGGGCGTCACCTGCCAGCACGTCTTCAGCTGGCAGCTGCCCGACGTGCCGTGGCACTTGCACTTTCGCCGCATGTTCTCCATCACCGCCTGCGGAAGGAGGAGGCAGGTGAGGCGGGACGCGGGGCGGCCATCCCCGGGCCCTCCTCTCGCCTCGGAGACTGGACTGTGAGGTGTCAGAGGCTTTTGAAACTAGCTCCATTGCACAGATGCCATCACTGATCCCCGACCCTTCCAGCTGCACCTCACAACTTCCGAGCTTAACAACCCAAACTCCCCGGCTGTTTTCCCACCTACCTCCCACCAGGCTAGGCCTGGGGGAATTCCCTCCTTCCTGCTCTTTTCCTATCTGGCTTGCCTTTTCCCGCAGCTGCAGGGGCCCCTTGGAGCTGGGGGCTGTAGATTCCTGAGTTCTTGGGGATCCCGGATCTTCAGGGGAATTCCCTCTCCCTCCATCCCAGAAGCAGGGGGTTGTCTGCCCTCACTACATCCCAGTCCCAAAGGCTCTGGTCTCTCCCCAGGCTGTGAGCAAGGAGTTGGGGGGAGGGTCTCTTAGAGAGGCGGAGAAAGATTGATCACCACCACCATTACCATGCTGAACACAGCTCTTTGTAGGGTGCCGAAACTGACCAGGGTTGTTATTCTGCCCTATGTTGAGTGGCCACAGGGGCCCCAAAGCTCTATGTAAATACAGGAGGGAGAGCAGCGAGCCAGCCAGGCTGTTAGAAAGTAGAAACAGGTTCCTAGACCACCAAGGGAGATGGTTATGGAGAACACAACCTACCTGCCTCCCACCCAGTGCTCAACCTGCTCTCCAACCTCCTCCCAAAGAACTCCTTGGCATTATCCTTGCCAGACATCCTACAGGAAGTTGGCCACATCCTCCCCTCACCACCACTTCACTGTTCAAGCACTTCTCAGGAAGAACAAGGATCTGGAACCCCCAAAATTGGGCAGGAGGGCCATAGGAGAGGGAGAACCTGCCCCTCTGGGTCATGGAGGGCCACGCCGCTTGCATGTGTAGCCTGTGGTGCCAACACCACGTGGGAACCAGCCCAATGCTTCCCCAGGCCAACAGCTCCAGAACATCTGCTTCTCACAGGCAGCAGCCATTAATTAACCAGTTTAACGACGATGAGGAGGAGGCACTGTTGGTAGGATTGGGGTGGTGTTGAAGCTTGGGAAAGGGGCCACAGGCACAGAGAAGGGCTGGGGAGGATCTGAGAGTAGGTGTGCCTCAGTTTACCCTGCCTCAAACTCAAGATGGCAATTGCTGAATCAGCTAGGCATCTATGTGGGAGGAAGAAGGAGTGGGCTAGGAGGCCAAGGGAAAGTAAGAGCAAGAGAAACCAGGAATGAGGCTTCCTGAGCAGGCTAGGCCAGGCCAAGAGGAGGGATGGGGATGGAATAGCCAGTAAAGAAGGTGATGAGCTCCAAGAGGACCAATAAGGTATTACAGCATTGCCTGGACCTCTGGGTATGAGTGCACAGGGAAACAGTCACTGTCTCATTAGTTGCATCACCTTGGGCAAGCTTCTTGGTCAATCTGGGCCCTGATTTCCCTATCTAAGCATGTAGCTGGTAGCAAGGCTCTTGTCCAAGGTAGTTGAAAAGATTAAGTAGGTAGAGCTCGGGACAGTGTCTGACAGTAAGCACTCAATACATGCAGTCTGTTGTGCAGAGAGTTCTTCCCTTTCTTCTCCTTTTTTATTCATGTATTTAATTTCTTTGCATGGTAGTAGTATGAGCATCCGAGGGCAGAGGGCAGAGGGCAGAAAGGGCAGGAGGAAGGCAACTGGATGAAGTTCCATCTTCTGGCTCTATTGGGGAGGAGAAAGCATGGCAGCCCAGACCTAGACCTTTGAGTTAGCTCCTGCCAGTTCAGTCCTTTGTCTGAAGATCACCAGAGGAAATGAGAGCAAGCTGCTCAGCGGGACTGTGCTGATGCCCCAGCAGGGTTGTCTAAACCCTGTTGCCTGGTGCACAGAAGATCCTCAAGGCATGCTCGCAGACTGAATTAGGAGGGAGCAATGGGAAGACTGCTGAATCAAGAGAAGGCAGAATAGTCCCCAGAAAAGAGAAAGGACTGGGGGTGGGGTGGGGGAGGAGGGAGACAGAGCCTATGCAGAAGGATGGGGAGAGGGTCTGGGGTGGGATGGGGTTCTCACCTGCCTCCCAACTCGGTTGTTGTGGAGCCTCATGCGGGCGTGGATGTCTCTATGAGGCTCCCGGGAGTCTAGAAAGTCCTTAGAGAAGCGCTCCCCGAAGCCTACGTCGGGACTGCAGCCGCCCCACTCCCAAGAGTCCTGCAGGCCTGGGCTGGCAGGAGGCAGGGCAGGGTGTTCTGGGACCCCATGGCTCAGGCCTTTACCGCGCTGCAGCGCGTCCAGCTGCAGGCGGTGCAGCTTGCGACGGAAGGCCTCCTCGTCCCCGCGTCGCGACGCATCGCAACCGCAGGCTCGAAGTTTGCCCAGGGCGCAGGCGTTGGACACCGCGTGCACCACTCCAGCTGCGGCGATGGCGTAGGCGAAAGCGCTCTCTCGGAAACCTGCAGTTAGTGACCCAGAAAACAGAGCCGTTGACGAGGCCACGACATCCCATACTTTTCTTCTACCCACCCGGGGTCCAAACTTGTTACATCAAGGAGAAACTGAGGCCCAACGAGGTGGTAGTCTAGGGCAGATTCCAAAAAGGGCAGAAATCTAACCAAAAGCCGGCATTCTGCACACAGGATAGAGTGAAGATGTTTCCCCCAGAGCACTCTTCTTTTTACAACGGCCCCATTCCCCTCTCTCCCCCTTACTAGCATTACCCTTAGCAAGTTCAGAATTTGTGTTTCTCTCCTCTAGGGCAGAAAGTATGGAGTAAACACATTCTTTTTCGGATCAAGGACTTAATCTATTGCCTTTATGGTGATATCTGTAATTTAAAAATAGCCTAGAGAAAGAAGGCAAGGTTTAACCTAAAGAGTAAATTAACTGTGATGGAATTCTAGGCCCCAAGAGATGCCAGTGGGCAGGAGGGGGGAGTAAAGCGAGATAGATAGTCTGCTACTACAGAGCCCTACCCCAAGGTTGCCTTCTGGTGTGAGTCTACCATAGGCCCAGCCTAAGAACTATCTCCACCCCTGGTCCACAGGACAGGCCTGAGAGCCACCCTGCCTGTCTGTGATGATATAGGTGAATCCAGTACTAGTAGTGTTGAACACAGAAGGGGAAGTCACCTTTCACTATATACTCAGGAGGGACAAGGACTGTCTTTCTCCTTGACTGAATCACTCCTTGTCCACAGTGTTTCCTTCTTGATGCTTCAGCTTGGGCCATCTAGGAATGCCCTGGACCTGTGGGTGGCCAATGGCCAACTTTCAGGGATAAGTTCATCCCTCAGACCAGCAGACAAGGGATTCCTCCTCTTTTTCTCCTCCTCCTCCTTTCTCTTCCTCCTTCCTTCCTTCATTCTTTTTCCCTCCCTCTCTCTCTCCCTCCTTTCCTCCCTTCCTCCCTCCCTTCCTTCCTCCCTCCCTTCCTTCCTTCCTTCCTTCCTTCCTTCCTTCCTTCCTTCCTTCCTTCCTTCGGACTTGTACTCAGGGCCTAGGCACTATCTCTAAGCTTGTTTTTTGCTAAAGGCTAACTTGAGCCAGAGCTCCACTTCTGACTTTTTTAGGGGGAGGGGGTAGTTTATTGGAGATAAGAGTTTCATGGACTTCCCTGTCCAAGCTGAGAAACAGAAAAATACAGAAGTGGTACTGTGGTGAAAGAGAGGGGGGGGAGAAAGAAAGAAAGAAAGAAAGAAAGAAAGAAAGAAAGAAAGAAAGAAAAGAAAAGAAAGCCTCAAATCTCAGCCTATCCCTGGTACTTTTGCTCCTTTCTTTCTTTCCCTTTCTCTTCTCTTTCTTTCTTTCTCTCTCTCTCTCCCTTCCTTCCTTCCTTCTTTCTTTCTTTCTCTCTTTCCTTCTTTCTTTTTCTTCTTTCTTTCCAATCTTGGGGCTTAAACTCAGGGCCTGGCACTGTCCCTAAGCTTCTCTTTGCTCAAAGTTTCTCTACCACTTGAGCCACAATGCCACTTCCGGCTTTTTCTGTTTACGTGGTACTGAGGAACTGAACCCAGGGCTTCATGCATGCTAGGCAAGCACTCTACCATTAGGCCACATTCCCAGCCTCCTTGACACTCTTTTTCTTTTTCCTCCTCCACCTTCTTCTTCTCCTCATAATAGTGAGGATTGAACCCCCTAAGCCTTGAGCATTCCAGGCAATACCATTTCAGCTATGACTCCAGCCCTAGCCCTTTTTGTTGTGTATTTTGTTGTTGAACTAGGATCTCTTCTCTCTCTCTTTTTTTCTTCCTGGATTGGCCTCTAGAGTAGCCAGTATGAGAGGTGTGTATCTCCATGCCTAGATAAGCTGAATATTTCTTGATTATTATGTGTCAAAGAAAAGACTAGATAGGAACAGTTTGTGGTACAAGTCTCCAACAAGCTCTGGACCCCAGACAGGGCAGGCAATGGAGAAGCTGGGCGTAAGAACAGCCCACACAGAGGGAAGAGATTCCCGCTGTTCCATGGGTCCCTGTTCTAGAAGCCAAAACCTGGAAGAAGGCTCATGATCTTGGGAGAGGCCAATATTCAGAGGAAATAAAAACTCTGGGTCCTTCCACCTCAGCATGTAAGATTTGGAGGAACATGCTTTCAGAGGTCTCACAGACCTTAGAGAACTAATCAGGACTGGACAGAAATCCCAGCCTTCTTAATCCTTAGCCTCAGTATCACAGAGCTCAGTCCTCCTGCAATAATGATGATGATGATGATGATAATAATAATAATACAGATACTACAAGATGTTTAGCATTTAAGAATTGCACTCTGGAGACAGATTACCTAGGTTCAAACCTGGTACTTCCACTTAGTAGTCGATAAAAGCTATATAATCATGGCCAAATGTCTTAACCACCCTCAGTTTCTTCACCTGCCTCATTGTTGTTCTAAGAATTAAAGCCAGGCACTGGTGGCTCACACTTGTAATCTTAGCTATTCAGGAGGCTTAGATTGAGGACCATGGTTTGAAGCCAGCCAGGGGAAGGAAAATTTATGAGTCTCTTATCTCTAAGTAGCTACCAAAAAAGCTGGAAGTGGAGCTGTGGCTCAAGTGGTAGACACTAGTCTTGAGCGGAAAAAGCTCAGGCATAATACTCCAGTCCGGAGTTCAAGCCCCAGGACCAGCATGTGTGAACACACACACACAAATTAAATAAATTAAGGTCAGTTAAATAAGTTAACATGCTTAGAATAGTGCCTTACTCATAGTAAGTGCTAAGTAAACATCAGTTATTATTGAGAAGTTCTTTTAGCTATTTGACCTCAGTGAACCCTGCTACACTTTGAGATCATTGTTTCACCTTGATCCTTTGATCTGAGTGCAGAAGCTCATGATCCATTTCTAAACTAAACCATTCAGATTACTGGAAAACTAGGAATCAGGCTTTCCCTCCTAGCTTCTCATTTTAGTTCATGGTCTCTTGGTACCTTTATCCATAAGAAGCCCAATGAGGAGCCGCTTTGAGGGGAAAGGATTGTGCTAGAGCCTTCAAAGAGGATGCTGGGAATTGGCAGGAGCTTCTTCAGAGGAGCAGAAACAGCTATGGGGTGGCAGGGCCCTTAGGCCCTTCCCCCTTAGGGAAGGAGGATAGATCCCAAGTCTCTGGGAAGTACATCCTGCATTTTATCATGGGAACTCAGAGTACTTCTCTTATTGCTAGGGGAATCATCAGCCTGCTTTAGTACACATGGCAATACTCAAATCTCAGAAATCACCACCCCCCTCCACACACACACACCACAGCTACTACCAAACACACAAGCATATACTATGGGAAATGGGGGAGCCCAAGCCCTGGTAGTTCAGTTCTAAGTCTCTGTCTACTTTTGGCACCAGGGAGTGCAAGAAGAGGGTCAAGGGGAGTGTGCAGGGCCAACTACCATCTTGTAGGCTCTGTCAAGTTCAAGGGCAGGCCTGGAGGGACATGGAGAAATGTAAACTTACAGCTTGCACAGAACATCTTACTCCATGTAGCTCAAGAGACCTTCTCCCACACTACCCCCATGGCCTCTGACAGCTGTCACAGCCACGTGCGGAGGTGACCAGGCAGGGCCTGTTTAGCCACCCTCTCTGCCACAAGTATCAGGCTTCAGAGAAGTCCAGCCCACTGGGTCTGTCCCCAGCTCCTGTTCAGGGCCCCAGTTTCGATCCTGCCCCCGACTGTCTGGGGCAGACAGGCACTGTGCCATCTGGCCAGCTGGAGGGGGAAAGGGGTGGGGCCATGGCCAGCTGGGCTGCCCGGAGCAGAAGGGGGGGGTGTCTTGTTAAGACGCACAATTAGCCGCCCTCCCTTTGATCTGGGACAGGGACTGCCAGCATCTAAGTGGAGTCAGCTGCTGCTACAGGCTGCATGCAGCCAACAGCCAGGAAAGGGCTAGGGAAGGAGGCTTAGAGGGATAGAGAGTATAGAAGAAAGAAGATTCAGGGGCCAGCAGGGAACTAGGAGGGGTTAGGGGTTAGAGAAGCTAAAGCTCCTCCCCTTCTAATCAAAGAGGGAGGAAAGAGAAGTCTGGTCTCCATTCCTTCCATGCTAATAACTCATGCGCTGGTGTGCCTAGTCAGTGAGAGGGAGGGAGGAAGAGAGGGCAAGGGGGGCAGGGGGGAGGGGGAGGGAAGAGAATGAATTTTGTGCATGTGGGAACACTTAGGCGTGACAATGGCTGGGGCTACATGGTTGCACAAACATGAGTAGGTGTGTGGGGGAGCATGCATATCAGGTTTATGTCTTGGAGTACAATCCGACTGCACTGGCTCACCTCTGTGTACATGGTGGGTGTTCAAGCTGGCCTTGCAACTTTGGAAGCAGTATAGTATAGTATAGCAGGGGGTTGGGTACAAACTCTAAAGTCAGGTGGGTCCTGGCTCTACGGTTCACTTACAATTTGTTCAATGAATGGCAAATTGCAATCCCTTCTTAACTTCATTTGTAAAATAAAGATAGTAACAGGACCTAGCCTGTGGGGACTATTTAAGGGCCCCAAATCATAGATAAAGTGGCGCTCAATACTCAGCAAATGTCTGATACATTTGCTGATTTACTGAGTGTCAAAAGAATCATAGGACCTTAAGTGATCCTAGGAAATGATTGCTTGTGTCTTGGTTTCCCCATCTCAGTACCACCACACACTCCAAGTCCTATAAGTAAAAAGGTCAGCAGGAAAAGAGCCAAATCTTAGAGAGCAAAGGCTATGTTCCTCTGGGCTGGGAGCCTGGCTTCCTGTAGGGCCTCAGATCCAGTTTTTTTACCTGTTCCAAGTAGGTCTGGGCCTTCGAGATGGCAATACCTAAGCTGTGGTGGCTCCCAAGACCTGCGTTGCATATCTCACAAACAGCTCCTCCAGCCTCTCCCTGATCTCACTTTTCTGCCCAGACCAGTGCTTGACTCCATCCCCCAGCAGCTCCTGCCACAATTTTCCCTCCTGTCCCTACCTCCTGCAAGAAAGAGATAGAAAGGTTTTATGTTCCTCACCAACAGATACATTCTATGCAGTCTCAGGCCCAGTAACCAATGTATCTGGGTCCCTAGGGCAATAAAATAAATAAATAAATAGGAATACCGGACTGGAATGTGGTTTGTGCTTTGCCTAGCATGCGTGAAGCCCTGGGTTCAGTTCCTCAGTACCACATAAGCAGAAAAAGCCAGAAGTGGTGCTCTTTCTCAAGTGGTAGAGTGAGCAGAAGAAGCTCAGGGACAGTACCTCCCCCCCCCCCAAGACCTCTGTGCTTGTCCCTACCCTCCTTCTGGCCTCAGAACCTGTCTTTGGCTAGGTAAAGTACTATTACATTCCCAGTGTAGTGTAGTCTAGGCTGACTGCTCAAGCACCTCATTTATCAGAACCTTTTCTCCAGCTCAGACCATCTTGGGGAAAGGTGTCAGGACAATCAGGAGACCATAGCAGCCTTAAGGAAAACACAAAGAATCTACCTCCGCTTAGTAGTCTTGGAAATTCAAACATGGCAGACTTCACTTAAAGAGAACTCTTTTGGCAGCCTAGATCAGATGAAGTGTCAACCCCAGGATATCCTTGGGGGAAGGCAAGGTCACCTGACTTCACAATGATCAATCCATACCTAGCTGGAGGGAGAACCAGGAAAGATACCAGACTGGCAGAGACAAAAGACAACCCTGTAGCTTTACAGGGTTCAAATTTAGGTAGCTCTAGCAGAGAGGTCCAAAATGGGTCAGGAAATGACCCAGAAGGACAGATTCAGATGTGGTGGCAGGCAGACACGGGGGTGGCAAGGTGGAGAAGGGGGAGTGGCAGTTTTTTTTCCAAGTCGCCTCCTCTGAGGAGGGAGAGGTAGAAATGAGGTGTTGCAACGGCGGGGGGGGGGGGGGGGGGGCAGAAGCCAGGGAGGTGGGGCGGTGTTCCGGGCCGAGGAAGGAACCCAGGAGCTTCAGTCCCGCCCCTCCTGGCGCTGGGCGCCGCCCCGCCCTGGCTAGCCCCGGCAAGCCTCCCCCCCCCTCCGCCCCTAACCTCCCCCCCTACCGTCCCCCCCCCCAGCTCACCTCCCGCTTATTAAACTGCAGGTGAACCCAGGAGCATCTGGCGCTGCGCCAAAGCCTCGCGGTTCCACCGCTCCAAACTCGCCCCCAAGCTTCAAAGACCCCAGGTCCTTCTCCAGGCCACACGGGCCAGAACCAGGAGCCAAACCAGGACGCCTGGGCTCGCTCAGTCTAGAGGGATCGGGAATGACCAGAGGGGACACCGAGGCCAGGGAGAGGGCGGAAGAGCTCGCCCAGCCTCATCCGAAGCGGCAGGGGTGAGAACCCCAGCGCCGGCCCGCGTCCCTAAGTGAGCCGGAACGGAAGCCAGGGCTGCGGAGTCCCCTTGGGGACCCGAGGGTCAGCGGGAAATGAAGGCTTCGGGGAGAGCGAAGGATCTCGAATCCCGAGCTGGGGAGCGAGCGCTCGTTGGCGGAGGGGAGCGCCAGCCCGGAGCGGCCCGTGCCCGTGCTTGGAAGAAGCCAAGGCCTTGCCACTTGGTGTCAGCTAAGCGCGCGCGCGCTGCGGGGCGGGGCGGGGCGCGGGGCTGGAGCGGGGCTGGCCTGACGGCAGGGGGTGGGGTGGGGTCCCCAGACAGCTGCGGCGGGACGGTGGCGAGGCCGTGCGGGGCGCGAGCGGTGAGATCGCGGGGCGAGAGGGGGCTGGGGGCACCCTCTCCTCGGAGAGCTGCGCGGCAGGGGCAGGAGCCGTCTGCCGCGGCCCGCGGGGATTAGTTCGCGGCTGCATGCCGCCACACGCGTCGGGCTGGGCTCGGCCGGGTAGAAACAGCGCCCGGGGCGCGCGGGGGAGGGAGGAGGGAGCGCGCAGAGGCGGGGCGGCGGCCCGGGGCCGGGCTGCCGAAGGCTGGGGTGGCCTCTCACTTGGGGGCCCAAGAGATGTTAAGCGCAAGGGTCCCGGAAAGAAGGGAAAGGCTTTGGCTGGATTCTTTCTGAAGTTGAGGTGCACAGAAACCTGACTCGCTCAACCCCAGAAACCTCAGGCCCCGAGGGAGGCGACTTAATATTTGGGCATTCCCCCTGCTGACTGACCTCTTCTGCTATCAACTAGGATTAGGGGCAAGTCCCTAGACTGGAGTGCTACCTGTCCCATCCAAGCAGGTGGGAGAGAATCTCAGGTAAATACCCAGCTAGGCAAATTCAGGAAATAAGGCACCATTTTGCCCCCTCCCTCCCCTCGCCAAAGACCTGATTCAAAGCTTATGATAGATTGGGAGGTAGGCATAAGTCAAAGTGGGTTACAAGCCTTCCTGCTGTCTCCAGACCCCTCTAGGGATTGTCTGGGTAGGCCGTGGGTCACCCAGAAATCAAGGAAAGAGGACAAAGTGTGGGCTGCAGTCTGTGCACCTTGGAGCTGTGAGGGGTTGACAGGACTGTTGTGCCACCATGCCAAAGCTGGCACACACCCAGTGCTCTGGTTCCGAAGCTTGGTGGTGGACCCTGCCGACAGAGCTTTTGCAGAAGAACAGACCATCTACCTGCCCATGCTTGGTGCTTCCTCTTGGGCAGGAAATTCCTACCCCCTCTGCTGATGGTAGGTGCCTCCTCGAAGGCCTTCCATCCTAAGTGTGGCTTGCTAAGTAAAGCACAGATTGAGGTAGGTAAGAGATGGGCATATTTCCTGGGCCTGAGGTAGGCAGTGTCACTGACAGGGCAGGCTAATTCCAGAGCCCAGCGCTCAGGTATAAGAACCTGCCACCAACCCTCAGCCATAGCCACTTTGGTCCCATTTGTCTGCGCGTTCTCTCCCCCCCCCCCATGGCTTTCCAGAGACTAGAAAGAAGCAAGAAAGCAGCAAGGCTGGCAGATGTGAGGGTTTGAGGGGCTGCCAGCTTGATAGTTAGGGATGGCTGGCAAACAGGTTCTAGGGTGGAGGTGCTGGGTGGGCAGGGTAAAGCAGGGGTGAGGGCAGCTACCTCTGCTGAAGATGGGACTCTCGTAGGGAATCTTGTTGCGAGTCTCCAGGCTAGAACAGTTCCAGCGCTGGTCCCGGAACTGGTGTTGGCATTCATGGATGGCAATCTGGATGCCCTGGATGGCTGAGGCCGCCACGTCAGGGTGACGCACACACACCTCCATCTGCCGCCGGCTCAGGCCGGGCAATGTCAGGCACACTGTGTTGGCGTTGAGCACAGGCTCTGGGGGAAGGCGGAGGCCCAGGATGTCGTTGGGTGCTGACCTGCAGGCATATAGGGTGGGGTGGGTAAGCATGGGGGGTGAAAACATGAGGGCCTCATTTAATAACACACACCTCAAAGGCCAGAAACACTCTACTCCAACTCCCAGTTCAGGAGGCTGGGCCCACCAGTGCACTTTTCTTTAACCACCACCACAACCAATCCACCACCACCACCTCTTCCTCCTCCCCCTCTTCTTCTTCCTCCTCCTCCTCCTCCTCACCACCTACTCATCCTCTATGCCTGCCACTGAGCCCACTCCCACAAGCATGTTGCCCGCCATCTGTCACATTGACTCAAGTACACATCACACACTGTGGTGGACAGCCCTGGGAACACATGTGCACACATCACCAGACACACACAAAGACACGCGTTTATTTTCTATATTGACCCATGAGCACTCAGCATCATGCATGTATACATACCAACATACCAACACAACTTGTTCGTGAACACATACACACACACACACAGTGCACACCCTTTATGACTGCAGTCCCTCATTGACCCCACCTGGGATTGGATACCACCTCCCAGTCCCAGAGCCCCTGTTGGGGTGGATCTGCCAGGTGGAACTGGTAGTTTGAGTTTATGCCTGGAGTTAGGGGGTGGGGTGGGGGTGTTCAGCCAGGATGGCAGGAACTCCCTCCCTCCACATTCACCTCCCCTCCTAGTTGCCATCACTCCCCTGGGCACTGCCCTGTCTCCCTGGACTCTGCCCATATCCTGTCACCAGTCCAACCCCCTCCTCTCAGGGAACTGGCTCACTCCCTGGAGACCAGCATTTCGCTGTCCCTCCCTGGTTTCAGGATCCCAGCGCCCGCAGGCGCGCCAGAGGCCCCGGGCCCCGGGGGTCCCAGCTCTCCAGGAGGGCGGAGCATGAGGTGAGGGCTCACCTGGGCACGGCGGCAGCCAGCAGCAGTAGGAAGAACAGGAGCGCCCAGAGCTCAGGCCGCGGCTGGGGCCGGGGTCGGAGCCGCAGCCAGGGGCGGGGGTGGGCGCTGCCCATGGCGCGCGGGCCGTGCCCGGCTGGGAATGAGGGGCTCACAGCCCGGCGGGACTGGCAAGCCAGGGACGACGACGCATGATCAGCAGGGGTCGGGGCGGCTGCGACACACAGCTCCGACTCAGGTCACGGCTCCAGGAGCAGACGGCGCCCGCCTCCCCGCACCATGGGGCAGCGCCCCCGGGCACCGCCCTCGGGGGGGTGTGGGTGGGGAGCGGGCGAGCCGGGCACCTCCTGGCACAGGGGTCCAGGGAATTTCCCGAGGCCCCCTTGCGACAACTCCTGGTGTCTCTGGCGGCTAGGAGGGGGGGGACCCCCGGAGGTGCAGCAAGCTGGGGACTCAAGGCTGGGGTGCCGAGGAGCCCCCCCCAAGCGCAGCGCTGGAGAGCCTGCGCGTCCCAGGGTGCGCGCGGAGGGCAGGGGGGTGCAGGGGGGGGCGACGCTGGCTGCGCCCAGCCCCACAGCCCGGAGAATGTGTGACTGTCCTGACTCCCAAGCTGGGGCGCTCTGCCGCCTCCCCCCCCACACCCATGTAGTGTCTTAGAGCTCTTCCCCACGTGACGTCACGGGGTGGAGGCGTGTGCGCGTCGCTAGGCCACTGCGTCTGCTGAAGACCAGGGGTGGGAGCCGGAGGGCAGAGGCCGGAGGAGAGGTGTTGGGGTTGGTGCACCCCAAGTGGAGTTGGGGAGATGCAGGGGCCGGAAGGGCTGACTGGTCTGTGTACGCCTGTCAGGCTGAGACAGGCAGGGCTGGGGAGCGTCCCGCCCCACCCCAGCCAGCACACACCTGCGGGGGGGGGGGACAGGACGGGAGAGGGGGGCTGGCCCCTGCCTCCATGGATCAGAAGGGACCCCACCCCCACCCCTACACCAGCCTGCCTGCCTGGGGAAGCAGGTGTGGGGTTCTAGGAAGGGATTTGACAGCCTCTGGCTTGTCCTGCCCTTTGCTGTGTGACCTTAAAGAGGTACCTCTGCCCCCTTGAGAAATGGAGTGAATGAGGCCCACCTCATCTAGGCACGGGTCCACTAAAAGGCCAGAGCGCCAGATCTCTAGTAAATGCTTCCTTAGGGAGCCAAGCACCCTGGTTGGGGGAGGGGGCATTTGAGAGACCTTACTCCTAGAAGCAAGTTTTGTGATCATTTTATTTAGCCTCCCCCCCTTAGTATCTTTCACAAGATATTAAGACTCAGAGAGGGTCATGACTTACTTAAGATGACACAGCTAATGAGTGGAAGAGTTGGAACTGATCCACTTCGCCCGGACTCCCAGCCTAGCAGCAATGGTCCTTACACGAGTGCTGTCTGTCTCCCCAGGCATGGTCTGAGTTTTGCGATGGCTTTCTGAGCTCCTGTCTTCCTTAGCAGAATACCAGGCCCCTCCTCCATACAGGGCAACTGTTTTTAGCCCAGGTGAGGCCTGAGAAACCAAGGGCTGGAGGCGATGGCTTCTGTTTTAGGCTCTAATCTTGGCTCTGATAATAAATCTTGCTCCTTAGTGCTGTAAAATGGGCACAAGCCTCCCACCCACCACACATATCCCTCCCCCTCCTCCCGCTCTTGACCCCTCTCCCTGAAGAGAAATCCTCCTGGCTTAGGGACAGAACTACCAGAGCCTCTGGGCTCTGAGTCAGAAGGGGCCCATTCCTGGAATTGCCCATCCTTGGGGAATTGGAGGAGAGAGGAGGGGCCTTTCTTGTCCCCAGACTGTCAGGTGGTGGGGGTGGCCTGAGCAACAGCAGGCCGATGCATACTCCCCCAGTACCCCCCCCATCTTTGCCTGCAGCAGCTACCGCAGCTGTCAGGAATTAAGGGCTTGAGGCTGCTGGGGGTGGGGGTAGGGTAATAGGGGAGCAGTCTGGCTGGACAGCAGGAAAACAGCCGGGGGCAGGAAGCAGACTGCGTCAGCCAGAGCCTTGTTTGACCCTAACCACCCCCTGCCCTCCCCTCTCTTCCCCACTGTGCTGCATGGAGGGGAGCAGGAACATCTTGGGGCTAGAGTTTGAAAAAGGGGTAGGTTCCAGCTAGAACCAGACTCAACCAGCAAGGAGGTTGAGCACAGGATTGGAGAAGACATCGGTGGGCTGCACTGTAGCTCCCATTGGGGAAACTGAGGCCCCAGAATGGGTTGAAGCTAACACAACAGGGCGGTAAGGTCATGCTCGGGTTTCAGAGTTCCTTGCTCCCAGTTCAGTGCTCACGCTAGTCTTTCCATGTTCTGTGCCCTGTATGTATCCCTTGGGATAGGCCATTGCGGGGAATACTGATTCCCTACACAGCTGACTCGGCCTTTCCAGGCACAAGGCTGTGTGTGTGCAGGGGTGGTCAGAGTTTTCCAAGTGTGTTGCTGGGGGACCACTTTTAGGTTATTCTGGGCCTGGGTGCTGTCCCCTAGCTCAAGGGGAGTGCTTTGCATCACAGCACCGCTTCCAGTTTTCTGGTGTTTAATTGGAGATAAGAGTCTCACAGACATTCCTGCCTGGGCTGGCTTTGAACCGCTATCCTCAGATCTCAGCCTCCTGAGTAGCTAGGATTCCAGGTGTGAGCCACCGGCACTCAGCTACTTCCATCTCTTTCTAACGAGGGGCATCTCTTTGCTCTCCCACCTGCCCTGTTCCTGAAACCCTGGGGTACAAAGAAGAGACTTTTTCTTTGAAACCCCTATGAGATAAATGAAGATTCCTAAGACTTTTGTCCTTAATATGATTCTGGCCTAGTGGCTATGAGTGCCCAAATCTCGAGGCCCTCACCTCAATTGAGGCAAGGCTGCCATAGACAGGGTCTTGGTGTGTATGGTGGTGAGGCTTTGAGTACACTGTCCCTGGGGCCCTGGCCCCATATAACCCTCACCATGGCCAAGCTCCTATCTGCATCCCCCCCACCAGTAGTCCCCACCCCAGCCCTGCCCTTGGTCCTGGCCCTCAGCCCAACCCCAGCCCCCGCAGCCTCTGCCTGAGACCACAATTACAGGGTCCACTGGGGGGGGGGATGGGGGAGTGGGGGAGATGAAAGGCTGCTGGGAGAATGGTTCCAGCTGTGGCAGCTCAGGGGGAGGTCTCAGAGAAGAAGGGCAGGGGGAGGCTCCAGGATGAGAACAGGTGGGACCCTCACAGCTCCAGCTCAGCCCAGTTCAGCTGAGGCTGAGTCTTGATGCTCTGTATTGGTGAAGCAGAGAGGGAAGGAGTCCCAGACGTACAAGGGGGCCCGCTGGCCTGTTGCTCAGTCCTGCAGCAAGGTAAGAGGGGGAATAGCTTGCTACTTCCCTCTCTCCCGTCTCCTAGTGTTTGGGCATTGAAGGGAAAGGGAGATATGTTCTGAGCTCTTGGCCTCAGGCGGATCCTAAGCTTTCCACCCAGCCTCCTCACCCATCTGCCTGAATTCTGCCATTCCGGTGTGGTCACGCACACATCTGGGGTGGCTCTGTACTCCTCCCCCACCTCCCCAGCTCCACATGTCCTCCGTCACTCAGCCAGCAGGGGACCTAGCCTGAGCCTGGGGCTGAGCAGCTGGGTGAGCAAGCAGGGGGACCCGTGGGGTTCTGCTGAGCTCTGCTTCTGACCTCTTTTCCCAGACAGCAGTGCAGGAGCACAGAGCCATCTTCAGGCTTAAAGAGGACGAGGCTAATGGGTCCAATCATGCCTGGCAGGCCATCACTGCCACCCTTCACAGAAAGCAATTCTCTGACTTGGGATCTGGTCACAGAAAATGGATCACCGTCTCATGACTAGCAATGGAAAACTTCAGTGCACTCTCACCCTGTGCTAAGAAGCGGTCAGACATCTCTATTTTGTGATGGAAAGACTGCACTTGAAACAAGTGAATGGACTCTACCAAGTTCAAGCTCTAAAACAAAGCCTTTTTCACAGTACCATACTATTTTGCTAGGCTTCTTTTCAACCTCCTCGGGTTGGTGCTGGCTCATGCCGCTACTCCCACGTTCCTTCTCTGGCAAAGTGAAGAATGAATCCCAGCATTACCCATCCCATCACCACCAACTAGGATTAGGCCCTAGCTCTGGCTAGCCTAAAGTTCCCATATAGGCTAGAACCCTGGCAGCTTGGCCAAGCTGTTGGTGAGTCTGCTTCCTGTCAGTTTTGCCTTCAGCTTCCCATTGCTTTGAATTTCCTAAATATCTGGCACCTCCTGTCCTCTGTGAGTAGGGAAGCTGGGCTCTGGACCCCCTCTTGTGGTCCCTGAGAAAATTGCAGGAGATTTAAAAAAAACTCTGGATTGAGTATGCAGGTCATTGGTCCCATCCCCAGCAGAGGGAAGGAAAGAGAAAGGGATGCGAAGGAGAAGGGAAGGGGTAGGATGGGGTTGAGGGGGGGGGAGAGGAAGTTTAGTGCAAAGTCCTAGAAAAGGCAGAGATGTGACTATAAGCCCTGCCCTTTAGGAAGCTGAAGGCAACGCTCTCTGTTGGAAGTTAAAAAGAGCTTACTTTGGCAAATGGGTTCCGAGTCCAAAATCATGACCTTTCCCTGCAGGCCAGACAGTAGATCTTAGAGCCAGGAGAAGGCAGAAAGGAAACTACTGATACCTCTTCCCCCCCCCCCCCCCGCCAGGAGCCTGACATTCTGCCCCCACAGCATGCCTGATTTGAGGTCTGAGCCCATATGCCTGCCTGAGTTAATGAAGGTGCACAGTGAAAGGAGGATAGATGTAGTAGAAGCCATGGTTAGGGTTTGTCACATCTAAGGATGAGATAACCTTCCTTTTTTTTTTTTTTTTTTTTGCCTGGGTGCTGTTCCTGAGCTCTTCAGCTCAAGGCTAGCACTCTACCATTTGAGCCACAGCGACACTTCTGGTTTTCTAGTGGTTAATTGGCGATAAGAGTCTCATGGACTTTCCTGCCTGGGCTGGCTTTGAACTGTGATCCTCAGATCTCAGCCTCCTGAGTAGCTAGGATGACAGCTGTGAGCCATGGGCTCTTCTGTTCTATTGAAAGAGCTCTGCTTTCCTCTTTGAGCCTCCATTCCCTGAGAGCCTATGGGGCTGCCAATCTCAGTTCTGGTACATTTCTCTGGACACAGTTCAGGCATTGGAACAATGACAAGGCCTTAGTTAGGAATTCTGTAGGTAACTAGGAAGATTGTCCTTTTTCCTTGGGGGGGGCATCATTGTCCCTAAGAATGTAGGCATAGGACAGTCACATAGAAAAAATGCACCAGAGGAGAGAATGAAGATAATATGCAGAGAGAGAGACAGGGTAAGCAGATATAATAGATGAGGGGATACAGGTCTAGAGTAGGTGGAGAATGATCTCCAACATTGAGCCCTAGGTTCAGCTAAAACTGAGCTCAGACTGAATGAATGGACTTTCCATTGTGTGTGTGTGTGTGTGTGTATGTGTGTATGCACGCGCATGCGTGTCAGTACTGTGACTTGAACTCATGGCCTTGTACTCTCGCTTAGCTTTTTGCTCAAGTCTGGTGCTTTTTGTTAGTTAATTGGAGATAAGAGTCTCTGGGTGCTGGGAATGTGGCTTAGTGATAGAGT